TTATCGTAGATATTTCGGCAAAGAAAGGAAAGTTTCTTTTTTACATTTCGTTTTAAGGTAATTTATAATAAAAATATATATTAAATAATTTACTGAATATTGCACCGACCGATTGCTGTTTGAAATGGGCGTGTCTCGTATCACAATATTCCACGTGTTAATTCCCCTATATTTTTTATTACAATACAGATTCCCAACATTTCCATCATAATACCTACCGGTATGTGTTCGTTTCCCGATATTTCCGTCATAATACCTACCGGTATGTGTTCGTTTCCCGACATTTCCATCATAATACGTACCGGTATGTGTTCATTTCCCAAAATTACGGTAGTTACCAACTTATATACTATAAAAGCAATTATTATAGACTAAGACATTGCAACCTTACAAAGTTCGTTTGATAAGACGGATTGACAGTTTTTGTAATCATGTATTGATGTTCTCCTAATGCTTAACTTTCTTATATCAACTGTTTAATATTTCGTCGTGATATATTTTCAAATTGCGTGTATATATATATTATAACCTTCAATGTTTCAAGTAAAAATTGGAAAGAAAACATCTGAAATGCGCATTTAATAGTCACTTGTGTATCGCTTGGCTCAAACTGTACTTTGATTTTATGGTGAATTAAGGTATCAAGAAATCAATTTTGTCGCGCGTTATTTGTTACTTTTACATAAGTACATATTTCTCAGCAGAGTAGATATACGGTTTCAATTTTTAAAATTGTAATTTCCGCAACCACGGTAAGTGATGCATACATTAACTTTCTATCCCTTAAATATGGCTGTCTCCCCTTTACTACAAATAACGTAACACTAACATATATTTCGCCTGGAAGCGCTGCGCAATAGCTACGAGAGACCGTTTATTACAACAAAACCATACAAATATATCAATATTTGTGACACTTCATGTATACATATGATAATGCACGTTACATTAACAGTATGATAAAATATCTCTCAATAATAAACATCCGCGTCATCGGAATACACGACGTCCAGGACAACACACAGAGAATGTTAATCTGATAAAACCTGTGTCCAATTTAACAAGTCCAGTGCCTTCCTCAGTGGCGTGTGTGGACTTCACACGAAAATATTAAATAATATAATATGAATTGCCTAACAACCTTTCAACTAAAACAACTTATGACAAGATATCATCAAAATTTGCATTTAATAACCACTATTTATTCATGTATTTATTCTTGAATTTTTTAAAGCACATGTTTATTAGCCGTGGTGCACGCTTTCTAACCTACAGATTCTTTCATCGGTGACATGCAGTGTGCCTGTTAACATTTCCCAGCAATAACCGAGCCAAAGTGAAGTTTGTGCTGGAATCCAATTGCACTTTTCTTCTGCTACCACAAAACCAAGTTTTAGTAACAACTCATGTACATAAATACTAAAAGATTTTGCAACGCTAAAATCATTGTATCCGCCCATACCGTCATATAAAACATGACTAACTTTTGGCCCCTTGATCGCACATGCCGTACTGGTATTCTCATTAATTTAGTAAAAATGAAACCTGCTGTAGATATTCCTAATGGGAGCACATTATAAATGTAAAAATGTCTTTCTCCTTCATTTTCCCAAGAAAAATCCAAGTATTCGCTATGATTCTGAAATATTTCTATTATGTGATAAGCAGACTTCAAATCAAAATCTCCTTTTTTGATAATATTTGAAGCCACTGAAACATCTTCATATTTAAATTTGAATTTAACCAAATGTGGATTTATATGCCGACAGTCTAAAACTAACCTGGGTTTTCCCGATTTTCCGAATGCTACTGTCAAAGGATTTACTACGGCAGGAATATACAATGTAATAAATTTTAGAAATACAACCTTTATGCAATTACTTTTTAATCTCCCCTTTAATAAATTCCGGATTTTCACTAGCAGACTTGTTATTCTTCTATATGCAAGTATTAGGTATATAATGTTTTGAAAGGCAACTTATACCCCTGAGTAATGACGGTTCTCATATTATCATCAATTCTGATATTTTCCCACTCATTAATACATTTTTTCAATCGCCAAACTGGCGACGCGCTTTCGTCTTATGTTACTTTTAGAAATCAATCTCTCTTCTAAAAATAAACTGTGTCATTTGTATCCTTTTTGCATATACTATTATTACAATCAAGAACAGAAAGACTACTTATCTTTTCATTCGTTTTGTCAGCACTTGTATTTCTACACTCGTATTTCCAATGCCCTGGCTGGCCACATGCGAAACATAGACCTGGTCGGGTTGACCTGCTAGTTGTGACTGTTCCAATCTGCGACTGACTTCTGTGGCTGAGTCTCCACTGACGCTGTACGACCATACGGTGAAAATCTCTTGAAACCGGAAAATGGACGTTAACTTTTCCATTTTCTGTTGGCCCTGGATTCAGCATGAGCTAACTTTTTCTCGTCTTCGGAGTCCGAAGCAAGTGAGTTGCTTTGGTATTTCTTGACTACTGACCAACCCAACTCCGAGAAGTATGCTATTCGAATGAGTTTTTGACGATTAGAAAGTAAACTCAAACCTTCGGAAATGTATTCTGACGCTCCGGACAAGTCCATTTCAATGACTTTTGAGGCCGTCACCTTCAATGCATTGCTGACCTTCACGTTGAACTTAAACTGGTCTTCACAACTTTTCCGCTTGAAAACATAATTGTCATTTTGCAAAATATCCTGCTGAATTTTGCTTATTTGAGTATCAGAAATTGCTTTCTGACTTTTTAAAATCCTTTCTTCTATTAAGGCTAATTTTGACGACATCAAATCCTCTATTCTATCCATTATATCGCGTTCATCTATTGACTGGTCCCCCGTAGCCATTATCGATTTTGGAAATTTTTAAAGCACGTGTTTATTAGCCGTATTGCACGCTGGAAACTGATACCTGTAACTCTATATATATACCTATCTCAATTTAATCATAACATTCATTTCGATTGGTCAGTTTGTAATACAACAATCAAACATTGGTCAATCTTTAACTCAATCGTAACGTGCAGACATAACTTCACCGCACGGCAAAGTAAAAATTACAGGCTGATGCATCAGAATCGCAGTCACCATTGAACCCTGCCTGATCGTAAGAGGGGACTAAACGGGTTCGAAATATTTGGGTCTATGCATCTCTTAGCTCCAGGTTTGCCAAAATCATCATTCCTGTGTCGACCCGCCAAATGATCCAAACTGTGTTGGTACGCCGTAAAACTAAATAAAACAAACCTGATTCTAACACGTGTTTACTTATTTTCTAAGATGTCTTCAAATTTGCTGCAGGGCTTCGTGTTGCTCATTATCGTCATAGATAGTTTTATAAATGCTTTAATGAAGTGGCTAAAAAGGCAGTTAATGCTTCATCTTGGCAAGAGAAGACAAAAAATAGAAGACCCTAGCTGTGTTTTATACATTCTATAATGAGGTTAAAAACTGAACAGAATCTCAGATAACTGTGACATTAAAAGGAATTCAAACAACACGTTTACACTTGACAATGTTCTTTTTTTGTTTGTTTATGATACCAATAAAATGTGAGCACTGCGAGAAATGCATTTTGAATGGTCACATTGTTTTCAAAAATGTCATTCTAGCACCAAAATACCCAAACACAATCATTCAACTTGACGAGCAGCTACACTCTTGTTTTTTACCTTCTGTTCCAAAGGCAGGATTGATCCATTTTATCAATTCAGAAGTTTGAGGGTTAATTTGTTCATTGGGTGGTTTGTTTTTTGTTAAATGTTTCGGAGACTTCTCGAATAATTTGACAGAGGCGCCAGATAGTGATCGTTAACCGAATCTCTTGTGAAATATTATTTATAAATCTAATTAAAGTGATAAATTAATATACGCAAGTCGTTTATCACTATCCAATCATACAGCATATAACTAAACCTTTACTACTTAACATGACCGGAAAGCTTTCAAAATAAAACAATAATCAATTGTATTATCTACGTCAAATGACCGGAAATGGAAATCTTTACTCTGGCGTTTCTCAATTATCGTCTGATCATTGAAAAATTGTAAATTGTTGTTATTTTTTCCACTGCTTTTTCTCTGCCAGGGGAAATAAATCTAGATAAACACAATCTTTAGTGAAAAGCGTTTAATATAATTAGTACCAACATGTTTTATAATTATTTCTAGCCAGATGTTTAATTAGTTGATATGATGTGTATTGCATATATTTTCATACATAGGAACTACTTGCAAGATAATTGTTTGAGCGTGTTATTTTTCTGAGGAAAACGGGTATATAAATAGAACGAGATAATGAATATTGCAGAAAGGACGAAATTGATTAATGTTGCTAACACTGCAACTTTGGTCCAAATTAATACGATACAAAAAATTGCCTGGTTAAGAAACCGAGGTTGTCCATCTTTTAATTTATATTTTCTTATTTTCATGGTTGGGTTTTGAGTCACAGTAAAGGTCATTGTCCACTTTCCAGGTTATGACTCCTGGGGCTCCTCCGCGCATTATTGTAGCAGGCACCTGCTTAGAACACAAATTGTCCGTAAGCTCACTGGATAGCTTCAAAAATATCATAAGTCATTTGCGGGATTTGAACCTATAGCAGTAAAAGGCAAGTGATGGGAAGCTTAAGACGTTCGCCATTAATCAAAATCCTTACAGACATTCCTGGTATGACTGTCCTGTACACACACAGGCTTCACTCACAAGTTTTTATATTCATAACAGAAAGTTTGCAAATTTTGAAAAATGATAATAATTATTATGGATAATTATATTCAGTTTTGATTTTCTCCAAATTATCCATCTTGGACCAAGCACTCAGGTTTGTGCCTCTCATTTAAATTCGCTTATTATGTGTCTTATTCTAATACATCACCTACAATCAAAGAATAATAATAATACATTGTTGTATTAGCAGGTACAATGACCAGTGTGTGTTCAAAGTCGTGAACATAGCGTGCTAAAACTAATCTGAAAACATACAAGAACATTAGTGGTCAAATTGATTGTTTATTCTTGCAAACGAAATGCAAAGGTAGTAAAGAATACAATTTTGTTCAATACATATAGTATATTATTTATTTTCCATTGTGAATTCTTAGCAATACATTTATTTGTTCAACTGAAGATAAACAGTCAAATATAGAACATAGGATATGAATTTGATTTATAGCTTCGTGGTCATGGAAGAAATAACAAACTTATGGTCTCACAGAATTGTCACTTCTGACATATACAAATATCACGCACCCTTGCTTTCAACGTGGGTATTAATGTCCGGCATGATTCCCTGAATTTCTTCACAAATATTGCGTACACAATCGGATTGATCATATGATTGAAAAAATAGATCCTGAAGAAAAATGAAAACCACGAAAATTCACTAGGTGACATGTTGACAATTTCTGATACTTTAAGAGCGAGAATTAGATGAGTTAAGTAAGTTATTATAAAAACAATCGTCAGTACAAACCAAACTAATGTTTTGGTTGGAAACCGAGTAGTTCGTATAATTGGAGTCTCACTGCGCAAGCTCTTTGAACTTAGTTGTTTGGACACTTTCTTCCGATTTGTGTTTTTCGGACTCGGTGAATTATTCTCGAAGGTAACAGATTGTTTTTGAAACGCGTCTTTTTCTTCTGTGTTTTCCCTATAGATGTCTAACAGACGTTTGGTATTGACGGCGTCCAGATTTATTGCATTTGGATCGTAAACGTCTGAACTATACGTCACTTCGTATAAAGAACTTTTGCGTAACAGAGAAATAGCTTTTATCTGTTTGATAGCTTCTTTCATGACAAATACGTATAGAACCACGTAACAGCACGAAATACCTATCAATAAAATTATAAGAACAATTTTATATATCTTTCTCCATATAGAATCTCGGTATTTATCTTCTGTTTCGCATAAATTGATTTCGGTAAATCCTCCGTAGATGTTCGTCATATTTTCCCGCTTTATTCCGCACATAATGGTCCCTGGAACTGCCAAAAAGAGCGGGAAAACGAACCCAACGATAAGCAGTATTTGAACAGCAAGTCTTGGGGTTAGTTGTTTTTTGAAAGGCTGTACAACTTTACGGTATCTGTCCACTGAAATTACTAGTAGCGACAAACACGATGCCGTCGAAACAAATACATTAAAGAAACACTTCACCTTGCAGGACACCTCGTCTCCAAATGCAAAATAACTTCTTTGTTTAATCATTTCTGCTGGAATTAATGTAAAACACGTGATAATATCTATAACACCTAATGTTAGAACAAATACTTTAAAGTTATTTCGTTTATAATCACGACTCAGAGAAAACACTAGAATAATTATCAAATTTCCGACAATTCCAAACACAGTAAAGAAGCCAAAGGTCACGGTCAGTGGTAACAGAGCCTCGGCATAGCGATTGTTGAGTTGCTGTAGCGTCTCTGTTCTGTTAAAATTATTTTGTAAGGGATCTTCAGGAGAAACTGTAACACTCATTTTGTACATACACTTGGTCAAAATTAAAAAATTTCAAACCTGGTGCCTCTACTCTCCTGTCTCTTTTCTTTTACTTAAACTGCGCTTTGGGAAGAGCAGATCTTTGTATATTCTACAGATAAAACACCTTTGTCGTCTGTATTTTCAATGTATAAGCACAAGCATTTGTTTGGTCTGCAGTGTGTCTTTATTCTTTGCCCATCGAACTCTGAGCTCATCTATATTACAAGCATCTTAGTTTGTCGTCATAGTCTGAAAATTCAATATCTGATCTAGTTTTACCAGTAGATCACCGTATGCGTTGGTCCCCTTTAAGTCTTTTTTTATCATCACCAAATTTATGAAAATTTAATAAATCATCGAAGAAGTCATATTGCGCAATTATGCATTAATATAACATTGTTGTTCTACTAAACTTCAACTCTATTACTGCAATACCTGGAATATTGCTGTATTCAGCCTGAGTAACATCGTAGATTTCCGTGTTGTTCCGTAATTATCTGTGTTGTTTCGTATTAGTCCGTGTTTCTCTGTGAAAACAATTATTATTGCATCACATCATTCTGTTCAAAAAATGAAAAAAATGATTTAGATTTAAAAATATTATATATTATTTGCAAACAATGCATTATTAATCCAAATCATTAATCAAAACTAATCATAAATTATATTTCGTCCCATTACTTAAGGATAGATTCCCTGTACATTCGTCATTTGTTTAATTTTTGACTTCTATGAATCAAAAGATTATCAATTTATGAAGTAAAAATAAAAATTCTTCTTTATAAAGTGAATAACCATACCAGCAAATCCATAGTAACTAAAATATGCTGATTTTTACTAGTTGTTCAACCATTGATTACCATAGTAACTAAACTTCCGTCAAGTTAAACAAAGTATTTAGATGAAAGAAGATCGTTTGTTTGGTCACTTTTCTCAACGAAAAGTAGTTCATTTATTACGCTACTTACAAGTTCGAGTGGTAAGTGGGACTCTCTTCCGGTTAGTATACCTATATAAAGACGAAATAAGTATGAAATATCAGATAGTATCTTCTTGTAAGTCCAAACCACTTCACGAACAAAGCATTAACAATTGGTTCTCAAAACACTCTCATAGAACACAATCCAACATCTTCAAACAATCGAAAGAACATCATAATACACCAATTCTTTGAATAATTTATATTTCTTTATATAATTATTATCCAAAAGAGTTTTAAAATAGTATTATATTATATAGTGAAAAATGAGAATAAAGCTTCCGTGTTGAACTTTAATTAGCTCGTGTAATGCATCATTCATGAAATAGTTGTTAAATGTTTTAGTAAACAAACCTTTAACGTGTAACACAGAGTTGAACAAGTGTACACATCCGAGGCATATACTTTACTCTTTTTAAATCCGAGTAATTGTGTCACTTCACTAATTCAGGTCAAAGAGACAAAATGTTAAATATGTTTAATCATTATATCTAGCGATAGCCACAATATGAACCGTCAAACGTGATTGAGTGCGATCATCATGATTCGTGTTATATTTATGCGGTTACTGATGAAATATAAAGAGAGGAAAATATTGTTTGTTAAACACTTGTTATAAGTGTAATAAGTGTTTAACATTCTCGTCTGGTGAATCTAACATTTTAAATATGTTACACTCAAACTTAAATTGGATAATTTATGTTCCTTATACATGTACATGTATTTTAAAAAGAATTCGCCGTCTTTCATGTATATAATGATATACATAATATATTCTAACGCTAATTAGGCATCCTATAATTTGATTTTGAATTAAATGAATGATCTACTGTTCAATATGTATAACTATATAAGTGTCTTGTGGATACAATCTTAATGTCACTTGGTTACAAAAATGTATTTTAGTATTACGTGAAATCCAAGCGCATTCAGTATAAATAAAACGCAGCTACAAATGACGTTCGTCACGTAAATTCTTTATAAATGTTACGTGACTACAACGTACGTTCAAGCAATATAACCTGCAATATAAGTTTCACATTTCAACTGTCTTTTTTTTCCGTCCAATATAGGTGGCACGTTGCTAGAAAGTTAGAAACAGCGTTCAATGTTAGCACTGAACTGGATAGTTAGATCTATTTGGTTCCAAAGACTGTTCTATAATACGTGTCACATTGTTAAAATCAGCGTTCATTGACACGTGTCACGTGACTATGAATTGAATTGGTTACATTTTACCGAACAATGTCATGCCAGATCAAAAAGCCTTCTTGATGAGCGTTACGCTACTATACCTACAGCGTGCAACATTATTGTGACATGGTATAATACTATTCAGCGTTCAACATAATATTTTATTTCCAAAAAGTCAGTATTTAATGCATATCATGCTTCATCTAGCCTCGATTTATTTTTAGAATCCAAAGTTCCATATCAAATCCTTCAAGTAACAAAGTTCTGTCAAAATGTCAAAAATGGTGGTGTAAAATAAAGAGGTCACTAAATATTGTTTAAAACAATATAATATTAAATTTTATTGGACTCGTACAGAGTCGGCTAGCGCCTCGTCCAATATAGATTTGACAGTTGTGTACTCGTCCAATAGAATCCTGTATGTAGGTATGTTCCATATGTTAGATTTATTAGTGACACGTGCCCACAAACATCGCTTATCAAACTTGAATGTTTCTTTTCACGAGTGTTTGACTGTACCAGCATTAGATATATTATTACTGCCAAATTTTATTTATCACTCAGTATTATAGATTATAAGATATTTTAAGATTTTCTTTATATTGTTCGCGTTCTTTAATTTGATTTACTATACTATAAAAATTGTTGATATGCATGCAGTAATTCCTCTTTTGTATCTGTTGAGTTTTACACTTGGGTTTCTTTCTATATTGAACAGAACAGAACAGAGTAGAACAGAACAGAGCTATTCTGTTCTGCTGTAAACCGAAAAAACTAAACACGCTATATAATCATTTCAATACCTTAAACATTTACAGCACACCTGGCATTTATTATTAATTAGTTTAATATAGGTCAAACTGGTGTGAAATACAAGATTGAAAATAGAATGCCATCATCGGTCAGAAAGTTGAACCGGATAGAATTATGTAAAATTATGCAAAATAATAAATTTTCGTAATCTTTGTTTATCATATGACTATTCCTGTAGAAATAATTTAATAAACATGTATGACTATATTCAGCAGCTTAAGAGCGTAATGTATGCATTTATCTTTTTAAAACAAGTATATACGTGTTAATGTAATATGTTTTAAAGAATACGAACAAAATGAACAACTGTGAAACATCAAATGTTACAAGACCATAAAAGCATAGCATACAGAGAAAAAACTTACACTGAAAGTTTAACCAGGGACATTAATTGACATCCTTAATTGACAATTGTCAATTAAGGTCCGTGGTTTAATTAAACATGCTTATCTTGCACCTTGATGTGCGAAATATACACAGAATTACCGTAAACTATAGTTACAGACCACCACTAGTTTTTGTTTTCTTTAAAAAAATATAATAGTTTCCTATGGTGGCACTTATTTCTGCCACCAGATAACCATGTAACTAACTAGTTAATTAAGAGGATAACTAGTTACGTAACTAGATTTTTTTAATAAATAAAAGATCATAACGGGAAATAAATGCATGTTAGTGCCTACAACTGCCATCCTTTTATCATTTTACCAGCTTAATGTTAAGATGTTAACTAGTTACGTAACTAGTTAACCTCTTAATTAACTAGTTAGTTATATGGTTATCTATTGGCAGAAATATGCCACCATAGTTTCTAAATCGCGATTTTTCTATTCCTGTTACAGGGAGAAATTAAGTTTATTTCGGAAGCTAAAAAAGACCTTTTTGAGTCGAGTAATGGTAATTTGTAATAAATCATTTTAGTTTTGGAAATGTTCAATCAGATATCTAGGCATTGAAAAAATACACTACATATTTTTAATTTGTCTAAATTTATCTTAAATAGTCACGTGACATGGTTATAATGACTTAACCTATAGCTCTTCAGCGCTTCTTATGTAAAATTCTTCCAAGTATAATTTCCACTAACCGTAAATTATACCATACCCAGACTATGGTATAATTTTTAGTTTTGAAAATTCGTTTTTCGGGAGGTTTTTAAGCATAAAAAGGTCACCCTTTATTATGGTATTTAATTTTCGCAAACCCAAAAAAATCGTTTAACGCCCCAGAAAAATCTCGGGGAGGTTAAAAGGGAAAGAAAGGTCACTGTTTTTTGGGAAAAATTTATTTCAAACCCCCGAAATCCCTCAACCCCAGCAGAAGTCTCGGGGGAGCGTTAAGGGCATAAGAAAAAGGGCACGTGATTTTTTGGGATAATTTTTCGCAAACCCAAAAAATCGTTAACGCAGCAATTGGGTATATCTATTACATAAATTTTATCCCTGTCTATTCCGATACTATGTCAGATAATTGCCCTGGAGATTATGTTCCCGAAGTTCCATCAACGGATCATCAATCTTATCTGCGTAATCTAATCTAGCGACATCTAGCGTCCCAAGAACTGGCGCAAAAATAATTAACTGAAATATTACAACGGAACACTTCTATCTTACTTGCATTATTTTCCGTTGGTAAATGTTCCTCATTAAAAAATTTCCTGTAAAAAGTATGCAATTATTTCCTTTTAGTTTAGTTTACATTATCTCTTATACAGTGAAACGGTGGCTTAGAGTGTGTTCTTACCAAAATATCAAAGACAAAATTTACAGTAAGATTGTTTCAATGTTCTTGTAATTATATCTAGAGTGTGTTATTTAAATGACATGAAATTATTAACTAAACAGTATAAAACGGTCCCTAACAAGAAATTCAACTGTTGTTTTAGATGGAGTTAACGCATTTCCACTCATTTGGCGGATGTTTACAAACATTTTTTTTCCAGTTAGTTACTTGGCAACCCCAAAACCAAAATTTTAGCTTTATATTCTCTTTCTTTTTTTAGCAAATTGTTTTAATTTTTAGGTTTGAAAAAAAAATTTTCTTTTCTCTTTAAAAATCTTCAAAAATTTCAGGGCCCTTTTAATTTTTGACTTAAAATAGTAATCTTTTGATTATTTTTTGGGGGTGGTAAGAAAAGCGTCCTTTAGAAAGTTTGGGAAAAATCTGTACAGAAAATGGAAAAGGTTTGTCACCGTTTAGACCGGGGCAAAACCCCCCCGAAAAGGCACAAAACAAAATTTTCAACTTTCGGACAACGGAATGTCCCCCAAATTTGGGTTTTAATTTGGGGAAAAATAAAAATTTTTGATCATTTACCTCCAAAAGCAATTTCCATAGATTATAGAATCTAGAATCCAAACAGATAAATTTTGAGCCGACGGTAGGTCACTGACAAAGGTCACGATGTAATGATATAATCATGGTGACTTTGATATACACTATGATATACAATATGGTCATTTATAATTATCTCCTCTAACTTGATATAATTCATATCAGTCACCGGTAATTTCTAATCCTGGACTGCAATTATAATACATGCATGAATAGCAATTATTCCAGCCAGGTGATATTAAACTTTACCATTCCCTAGGGATAACTGAGGTTGATATTTTTGCACGTTATAGTGGAAATAACGCACTAGTTTTATTAAAGTTTTGGAGAATATTTTTGATTATAAACGAATAGCAAATTTATCACACGCTAAAAAGCAAAGAGGTTGATGAAACATAATACACTTTAAACAAAAGTAAAAATTAATACAAAATGACATACATTATTCTCACAAAACTAATTAATTTGATTAACACAAAAGGCAAATTACATTTATTGTTTACAATTAATTGAAAGACTAAATTAAAACAACATTAAATAATAGAAAATAGAAAAAAAGTATTAGATACTTTTTGAACGAAAGACTATATCAAAAATAAAAGAAATAGTAATGATTCTATTTACCGCTTTTTTAAATAGTTGAATTTTCTAAGTTCCTAATTGTTAATCTATGTTCCAATGTTCCCGGATATAATACTCCACCATCTAATCGCCTGATTATTATAGCTGAGAGATTTCCATGCTTCGTTAAAGAGACGAGTTATTCTATGAATATATAATTTTTCCAATATATATGATTCTTATCACTCATCCGTCACCACTCGAGTTTGCCATTTTGATTGAAATACTTAATGGCTTTTACTAGTTCCATGTTTCATAATTCATAAACATCTGGGATGAGAAACATATTTATAATTAGTATATACACAAAGATGGTATATGTTAGTTTACACTTCAACTGATATATAATATAATATATACTGAGAATTTTCCCAGGTTCTTGGGCAGTGAAAAGGCTAATTTGCAGAAAAATTTATTCTGCTTTATTGAGCATAAAGAACCACACATTGCCCTGTATTTAAAAGAAGCATAAATACGATCAAAATACGAATTACTCGACAATATATTGGTGCTTACTCATATTTCAAATAATACGAGAAAACAGATTAATCTGTACGTTACGTACAGTCAAACGCTCTGCCAAAGGAGTGCATCGTTCATTTATA